AGGTTAATGATGTTTTGGTATGGCGATCGCGTCCGGAGATAACTTTACACATTATCGTGACTGTGGCCTCAAATAATTATGTCTCGTGTTTACATGGTGTAGAATTACAGATATGAAACGCAACATATGGTTAAACGACCTCTTTATCAATTGAACAAAATATCAAACTGATTTTTTCAAGTCCGATGTTGTTTATAAGAAGTATAACACATCTAAAGTTTTTTTTGGTCAAATGGCTGTTACACAACACGCCATTTTGTTACATGTCCTGAGTTTTTTAAATTTAAATTTTGAGAATGAAATCGCGGTTTCAGCAAATACCACATAAATGTATTTTACATTTGTATTACTATTTCTAAACACTTTCTTCGGGTAAGTAACTATATATTGTATACAGACGTGTATAGAACAACCAGTGAGGAGTTCATCCGTGACTTTTCCATGACTAGGGCGATACGTACTGTGCCGCGTTTATCAGAAAAAAAATGTCCGGTAATGCGCATGATAAGATAATATTTACGATTGTTGGCAATAAAATGTCCTTCGATTTGGCTTCGCGGTAAGGTTATGATAAATATTTCATTATGTTTTAATCATTTGCCATTGTCTCTACAGTTCAAAACAATTACTATTAGATGAAAACGATTTGTAAAGCCATGTTCATGTAAAAGGACCTTCCCAGCCCAATAACTCGCTCTAGGCTAATGTACATCACTAACACAAAACATTTAAGTTGCTAGATCAAAACTACTGACTATTGACAAGCATTATTGAAACAAGGTTCTGAAACTTGACAAATATTTCAAATGGCCTTATTGTGCTGGTTTTATGGCATTTTAGACATTGCAACAGTTCCGGAAGTCAATGCCCGGAAGTTGACATACAACACCGGTGATCAAGGACGGGGGCGCCCGCTCCTACTTGTTTTATGTAAATCGGCCAACAGATATGGAAATGTGGTTTCAAAATCAATGTTTCAAAAGTTTAATGCTTGTACATTCCAATTATTCTAAAATCTGATTTTGCATGTATCTCCTCGAAGACACAGTATTAAATCGGGTGAAATGTTGGGTAAGATTAACAAACGCTTATAACAACTTGTGATTTGATAAATTAATAATTGACCCGTTATGAAAGGACATTGAAATACATTTGGAGAGACACGAAGGGATTGTTTAGGAAAGAGGAAAATGGAACCTTGAAATTATGTTGGCAATATGTGAGGCACCTCGCAAATGAAATGACGAGCACTACGTAGATTTGTGTTAAGGGTTGACCGTACTTCATAATAGCCTAACTTCTGTTTTTTCGTTTTGCTACTAATTAAAACATATATAGCATATTTGTCATACTAGAGGACACGTGAAAATAAGAAAACGAGCAAAGTTCACAATATTCCATGCTTTCCCGACACACATGGAACAAGGAGGCACCGTAGTCTAGTGATAGGACGCCGGGCTCGTGACCGAAGGGTTGCGGGTTCGAGTCACGTCACGGAACTTAGTTGTATCTTTGAGCTAGATACTTTACTCTGTTTGTTCAAGTCTACTCCGCTGTAAATGGGTACGTGGTTGGGAAAAGCTAGAATTTTTAAAATGCTAGCTGTGAGCGCCGAAATTGCAGCACCGGCTGTATGCTCCCCAGGGAGTTGAGAATGATATGGGCTAGTTGCAACCCTAAACACTAGGTTGTGGTGAAGCGTTACATAAGGATAATTTTATTATAATTATTTTTATCATGATAGTAATGGGAATCAAATCACGGACTTCTAATCCCCAAATGGTCGCCCAGACACTGAGGTACATACTCTGCGGTCATTTCTTGGTTCCTTCTACAGTTACATCGAAAACAACACTGCATGCATCATGCAGTAATTTGCCTGCAGTGGATTACATCCTTGACTGAAAAGTCTAGGTAGGTCAGTGAACCCAAAAGACGCAGGATTACTCTTTAGACCATTAGCTAGGTATATGTCAGGAATGCATCAAGACGATAACGGCATCGTCCTAAATATATATATTTTTTAACAATAATTAGAGATTAGAATGAAAGTATGATATCAGACGGGAAGACCAACAATGCGATTGCAATATGGCAGACGCTGCCTGATCGAATCACTGTCTCTGTCACTTGAGCGCTTTCTGACATTCGGCTCAATGAAGCGCACTGGTGACCTGTCGCTTCAGATGACTGCCATCTTCCACAATCAATTACTCCCCCACAAGACAGAAATAATAGACGCGACTCTTGGAAAGCTCGCGTCTAAAATATGGTTTCGTTTACAATAAGATTTAGACGTTTCAAGTTACCAGAAAATATCAGGCAATCATTTTTAAGAAGAACAATCGAACAGCGGAACTTTTAAGTTTACTGATTTCACTCCGAGATGTTGAAGGCCTATTGACTTTTAGATAAAATTGAAAGAATATAATTTATCATGCATGTGATACTTAGAGAATTACTTGTGATATTTACCGTTAAACTCTTGTCGTTTTGGTAGTGAATTTAAGTGGTTTTTTTCATACATAGGTAACTTGTGCTTTTTTTTGGTGTAAATACGTCTATTACTTTACTGTATTATCCTGGTAACACTTTAACATATTGCTACAGTGTATGACCATTGCTGTTAACGAGACACTTAACGTAATGTACCGAACCTTTCCGTATTCATTTTTTTTTTAACCGAATAAATATATCTATCCGTCCAACTCAAACACACATTTTAAAGAGCTATTCATGTTTGTATTGGTTGGGGTTGCAAATATTGTGGATTTGTGTAAAGAACTAATATCTGAGTATCCGAGTGTAGATGGCGTTACGCACGATGTTGGTCACACATTGTGCATATCAAAATGACGTCGTTTTATCATATATGACGTCGTGTTATCATATATGACGTCTTTTTTTTTTTTTGCATTATTTGTAAAAAAAACCATTGTATGCTACCGTGCGAAAAAAGAAGAATGGTTAACATGAGTTGATAAGCTTTTTTTCTTAATTGTTGTGAAATAAATAACGTTTAAAAAATGACCGGGGTCAGGAGGGAAGGGGCTGTTAGATGTAGGGGTGGGGACAGAGTTATATTCTCAAAATCGTTTCAATCGTTTCAGAACGAGTCGGTTGTCCCATTTTTGGACTTTGCTGTATATACCAATAGAGAATAAGTATCAACGTCAGATATACACTGTATTCTGTTTTAACAATTCTATTTATAAGTATTGAATTTAACCACGTAGTATTTCAAAAAATGTAATGATGCATAAAATTCAACTCGTAATAACAAAATTGCACCACGATTTCTACTAGTGTTTGACACTCTAACTGCGGTGCAACGTTAACTTTATTCCCATTACGTTGCCTATGTGGGACATTTTACGGAAATTGTGAAGTGTAATGCGATTTTTTCATTATTGATCCCATCACAGAAGTGAAAAGAGTTTCATTCTATTCAGTAAGGACACATTCTTATAGGGACAAAATTACTTTATTCATGTTATGTGGTTCAATATAATACGTCATCAAAGATTCAATTTATGCAAAATGTACGTCAAGAGCAACCACAGGACAAATTTCGGAATTTTTGATTTTGCCTGTTTTACAAGAAAACGTTCTTTCAGATAGATAATTTTCTGCATATAATAATTTCGACAAAGGCACATTACAAATATAATTTCATGGATCTCAAATAACTGACAATGTCCTCATTTGAACATGATAGGTTCAACCTTACCGAATTTTCTGCTTGGTAAGCGTTACATTCTGTTCATAGCGATTTAGAGAAGATTTTGGTTTACATGCCGATTACTAATCTCAATGAAACTTTTGACGTCATTTCTGCTTCCGCTAATCTTGTTCTTACATTTCTGCTTACTTTTGGCGCGAATTTATGGAATTTATGAAAAGTCTTACACCGTGTATGTTACGCGTTACACGAGTTATTGTGACATTTTCGAGGCTGTTAAGGTTAAATATAATTCTTCGTGTTGTGTTATTCTATCCATAATTAGCAGTAAATGAATGAACTTGGAAAAAAGGGTTCTCGGATATATAATATGACATCAAGTTCTGAAAATTGAATAATATAGCGATACTTTTAGTGGGCGCCATGTGTGTTTTGAAGCGGTGTCACCAACATCGCACGTAACGGCATATACAATATACACTATATTTATGGTATATAGTATTTGTACAAATGTATGTTATAAGGATATTAGTGTTTCAGTCTTAAAAAACCCTGATTTAAAACCCGAACAAATTGAATAGTGTAAATTTGCCATTTTGATACCCCAAGTCTCATCGAAATGTTTGACGTTTTCACATGGTTTCCGCCATCGGGAAGTCATAATGTAATAAACAAAGTTAATTATCAGAATGTTTAATTATTGGCATCACGAATTTATTTGGCATGCTTCCCCAAACACTTACGTATTTTCTGCAGCATTATAACACTACCTGATAATCAGAAAGTTGGATATTCTGCCGATATTTGGCTGTATACAAAACAAAAATACTGAAATATTTAAAAAAAAATCTTTGACAGCACACAAAGTTTCTAAATATTGATTGTATGAAACCAATTTGAAAGGTACTATCCTATGATACTTTACTTTTTCGAATTACCACTACCAACCACGCCCTCCTCATAAAATACAATAGCGCCAATGCTCCTTCAAAACATGTCACCAGCCTCTCGGCGCAGTTCAAGAACTGAAAATTGCGAATCCCAAGTTTCAGTGGATACTTTTACAGCTTATAATTACTGGCTGTATAGTTTCTCAGCATCTCTGTGTTTTGTCGATTTATTAGGATTTTTAAGACTTGCTATCTCAAAGCAAATTTCGCATAATATTTCTGTGGAAGCTTCGATGATCTCCCAATAAAATCAGAGGGGTTCGAAGAACTGGAGAAAGTAGAGCTTACTCACAGCTCTTAGGAATCTGTAACCATGTTTGAATCATTAACATGCATGTGCCGTGGTAGAATAAAAAAAGACATACATATTTTTTTTCCGAAAATATTTAATTGTAACGATTTCATCATCTAGTAACACTCAACTTTTCATAAAAGAAATATAACAAATTAAACCAACAGATTGAATTGTGAAAAAAAGATACAACTAAAATTCATGGAAAGGCGATATTTTGTTGAATATAATTTCAGGTGAGTACAAACACAAAAAAACCAAAATAGTAAATATATCGACCTCTTTCAAAACGCATTCATATTCGGCTTTCCACAATGTACATGAACATTCACTTTCACGCTTTTTTCAGTCAGCAAGTTCAGTGTGAATACAGAGTTATCTGCCCATGACGATTCGGAAGTTTCCGTCAATTTTCGAATAAAGAATCGGCCTTTTTCGCCTATTTCCGTAGGAATGACGAATAATTCGATAATAAATATATATGATACTCGTATACTTAAAATTATGAGTTTATTTCTTCTCTGTGCTGAAACCTTTGGTTCTGTTTCCTTGTCGAATTGAATTTCACTTGGATTGTTTATTACTTGTAAGTCTGAATATTGATAATGATAATATGGCGGGAAATACACACATCCTTTTATGATTCAGCCTCCCGTGCCTTGCTGATCATATATGCCATTTTAAAGATACTATTACAAATATAACTATAGCTGAATCTCCCATTAAGGACGCGCTTCAAATAAACGATATGTAACTTCTGCATTACGTGTTTGACGACTTGCCTTTGAGCTATTCTTTATATAGTTATCAGTTATATTGTAAATATATATATAATCGTTTATAACGAATTCACATATATATATCACAATACCAACGCCGGAGATCTTATGCATTGAAAGTTCATGTTTAAAACTCGACGAGTTTGATAATCTATTCCTCTTTTTAATAACATAAAACACTATGTGTTTTATTCAATGAATTCAACACATGGAGCAAATTTGTGAATTTTCGATATAAAGTGATACATGTAACAAACACAACGTTCGTTTTTTTAAATTTGCACATTTTATTTTAAGGAAGTTTGACTTTCGCTTCAGATTTAGTTTTCTCTTGAAAAAAAGTAACGACCAATGAAAACCGATTTATTTATTTTCGATAAAGGATTTTGCACGATTCTTTACATCTATCATAACGACAGTGGCATTATGATTATCCAGTCAGAGCAACCCTTTTACACGCCTCACCGTAAGTATGTCATACTGATATAACATCTATTTTCATATAATAATTACAACACAAAATAAATAATTATCTTTGGTTAAATAATACACATCTTTTGATTTGTCAATATCTAACAAATTATATACAAAATGTATTCTCTGAAATAATAATGAAAATAAAATAATGAAAAAAAGAAAAACATCTCTCTATGTTAAATGTAAAATGAACACCTACATGAATAAAATATGTAATGTACTCAAGACCTCCCACGCACACAAATTTACATCTACTCTTAAAACCTGGAATTAGTTTTATTACGACGGTTAAGATATCTATCGTATAGAATAGCTTTTTCTTTAAAGTGAAGTTTTTGTTCAACATAGAGACGCGAGCGACGTTAATTATACTGCAATTATAATTAATATCGAAGTATTTCCTGCTGATTGTAGAAATAACTAAACAGGTGTTTTATTCTCCTTGATTGGAATAGCATCACTCGAACAGTGTGCCGCTCGCGAGTTTCATATTGAATCTATCATCAAGGAAGAAATAAAAAAGCGGAAGTTCATTCGGAAGACCGGAAGTAGTCGGTCTTCGTATAGGCACTTTGTTTATCGACACCATGGCCCAGTTGTTAAAGCTTGGTCAGCTGAATGCGATAGTTTTCAACTTTTTGTTTTATTTACTTTTCAGTAAACAGAAATATATGCTCAACGATTCAAAATGATTTGTTTATATGAAGACATATATATGATCGAAAAAATCCATGAATTGCAACAAATAATTATTTTTCACATCAAGCTAACAAAACTTAGCACAACTGGACCCAAAACGGTAACCAACATAATACCTATTTAGCACTAGAAATCAATAAAATAAACATCAATTGACATGTCATTCAGTATTCTCCATAGTTTGGAAAATTCTTCATGGAAAATATTTGTGATTTCCTTTTTTTTTGTTGCTTTTTTTGTATTTTTCCTCAAAAATTCGCGAAGAAGACTTTTCAGTTTCACGTTGGCAAGTTCTGTCTCCTTTTTTACGAGGTCAAACACATGAACCCTTGCGTTTCCATGGAGACTGCTGGTATCACGTGCAGACGACATATCCTGATTCTGCTTCCACAGTTTCAGCGTTTTGCTATCTCATGGGGGTATGTCCTCAATACGGCCAATAGGGCATCAGGTCATTATCTCGGAGAAATTCTGTAAAGAGAAAAAGAAAAAAATCTGTAAATCTCCTGCTTATAAATCATTGTTCAGGCTGAAGAAAAATGAAATAAAGCAAATATTGTAATCGGTGGCACAATGCATAAACTTCCAGCGTTATCATGGAGAGAATCGGGTATCGATTCCTCGTAGCAGAGTGTTTTTATTTTAGGAAATTATAAATGCCAGAAAAAAAAATCTACACAAAAGAGAACTCTTCTTTTTCCGGAGATACAAAAATGATCGCATTGACTCTCTACCTTAACCGTATCATATATTAATGCTTTAATATGCATCTAGCTGACTTTGCAAAACATTGGAATTGCATTCTGGAATTCATATGTCTTCGTTTAATCATGAAGCAAAATGCAGAAGACAGAAAAGGACAAAAATCTAATCTCAATAAAAAAAAAGAAGGTCAACCAATCTTGTATCTGTCTGAGAGTTCTCATAAAGACTATTGGTGATAAAGCATTCCTGATGATCTTTATAAAGTCAACATCTTTTATTGCTGCGTGGATGATTCTCCTAGCTTTATAGGATCTCTTTGTTTTAACAAAACGAGACACAGTGCAAGATCAATGAAACTCCGACATGTCATCTTTCGTGCAAAACAGTCGTAATCAACAACGGTACACAGGCTGGTATCCTTATAATACGCGTATTTTTCTCCCATGTTCCATTTCATTCATAACTTTTATTGATCGCTTCCGGTCGAAATCATTCTCAAGATACAAATAATTCCTCGCATTGACAGCTTAACAAAGAAAAAATGATAACAACATAATTGGAAAAAAAATATACTCTATGATTTAATTTAAGCTAAAACGGTATTGAGTTTTACTAAATATATTCTTTAACTTGTTTTTTTTTTTTAAATGAAACATGTTTTATGGTGTTTAAGATGAAGAACTTGAGTTAATAATTTGATCTCTTGAAACTGAAGTTTTCGTCTTAATCACGCTTCAAATACGACCTTGCATTATCTTGTTTACTAGTTGTTTGGAGGCACTGGTAAACAATGTCACATAATCTGGTCTCCAAGGACGGTCCCGATCCGGGGAACTTTCTATCAGCTTTTATTTTGTCATACTTCTCAGTGAATATACACAATATTTACACACGTTTTTAATAATAACAACGTTTACTCACTCTTACATGTATTATATATATTTACACTAAAACAACCTTTATTGAAAGGCAAATGAAACGAAAAATTTGGCAAACATTATTTCAATTCAAACTGACAAGATCCTGGTCAGATGAATGCTTGCATTTCGGTATTAGTTTCACAAGAGTGTAATTGACATAAAGTTCCTCAGATGTATGCCGTATTATGGCAATCAAACGGTTTGTAATTCATAATTACAGGAAGCTTACTTAGTCCAGTTATTGGACAAATGCTATCAAATTTCGGCTTCGGCACATTATTGCAGACATCACAATAGATCAAATGATTCAAGGATAACTAAGTTTAGCTACTTCCGGAGGAAAGAAAAGTCACGTGATTGTTTTGATATACAAATAAGACAAAGGCATACACGCTATGTTTTATCCATTTCCGTTTCAAAATATGGTCATTGAGTAATAATATTTACTGCTTTGAATAATGCCCGTATACATATTGATAAATATATGTTGGTGTTTTATGCTTGGAATATACGATGTTTGCCCGTTCAGAACATGTAACTTTGTATTCAGTTGAGTGAAAAACATACAGTGTACACCCTCGTTACACTGCCGGCGGTTTGTAAAGCGACATGTTGGATATAACGAGGGTTGCCTATACATTGATGGATATTTAAAGAAGAGTCTTGGGAAATTTATCTAAAGAATATATATATATACATGTTAGAATTGTTTTAAAAAGAAAAACGTTACTGTTAGCGAAGTAGCAAATGTAACAAGCGGCATTTGTCGAAATTTTATTGTGCTTCATGAATTTACATTGAAAATTATACCTTGCTGTGTTTTGAAACTAATGGAAATTAAACAAATTCGGTAGCAACCCAAGTTTTTTTTTTTTGTGAATAGAAACTTGAAATACAATTCTAAAACAAGAATCAAACTGCGAAATAATTTTAACACCCGATTTCAATAAACGTGTAAACTAGACGTAATGAACGTTTTACCTGACAAATGGCACCGTTTCATGTCTTCATTAAAAAGATCTGATAAACGATAAAAACTGCGTTCATCAAAAGGTATACATCTATATAGTTATTAATGTGTGTTCTTTTATCAATAACCACATTTAGCCCAAATATAACCGTGTTACTAAAAACAGATTTTTGTTTTTTTAGTACAAGGTCAGATAAGCTTAAGCGTTGTATGTATTTTGCAATCTTCACACACTATTTCTTATCAAAGAGAAAATGATTGACTAGAATGTTGCCTAGTGTCTGCGTTAATGAATAGTTTATGTGCCGCCTATCTGAACTATAACGTCTGATCCGACCATGCAAATCACGTGTGGGCCAAATTGTGTTTCCGAATATTACAATTACGTAGCAATGCTCGTTACAAACACAGTTTGACACAGGGAATTACGTTAAATGATTTCGACATCAATCAAATTTATATAAATTAGAATTCCTTTTTTTCCAACGGGATATTAACTCAAAGTGTAAACTACTAATTAATTTGTCATTTCGGCAGATCTTCTTGAGGTTTGTCAGACATATTGCTACAACGTTAACTGTCCAAGCATGAAAAGGATGTTGCAAATGAGAAACTCTCTAACAAACATCTTTAAATAATGCCTCCATAATCAAATCAAATCTACTCATACTTGCTCACATGGGTGAAACACCGATAGGACATTGACACTATAAACTTCCTGCTCTGAGAGGAAATAGAACAATGTAATAAATTTATGAAAGGAGCCGCAGTTTCGCATCAGTCTTAAAGGAGCCGCGACTTTGTATATGCAAGAGCGCGAAGCCATTATTTAATTAAAAACATGTTTGATTTTTATGTGTCGAGAAACAGAATGGAAAGCTACGTAAAAACACTATACCATCCGTTTGTATTTAAGAGTCAACCACAAATTAAATTCCATATAAAACTCCACAGTGTCATAAAAAATACCCTCCGGTGGATAATAGTCGTCACAAACGCTAAATAGTTACAACATATGACACAAGCTGGTTACCGCACGATGTTGCCGCCATGCAACGGCCAATCGGTGAAGATCTTTAACACCCTCTAGTGACATATGACGCATCTTTTTTTTCTCCAGAAAAGAGGAAATTTAACAAATCTTAATCATGGTTTGTTAATTTTGGTGTTTCGGGGCGACTCTTTTTTGTTTGTTTAGGTTTTAAAGTCTGCCATAAGTTAACATCAAATCAAAATGGGAGCCTTAGTAAGCAACACTGAAGAGTGGAGAAAGTAAAAAAAGATAATAAATAGATCCCAAATGTTGTAATGGGGGTAAAACATCATTTTTTCTTTAATGCCCCCTAAGTTGAAACCACAGAGGAAAAATCACGAATCCGAATGTACCACACATTAGTCACTCATTCCGGAAACATGTAGAGAGATGCAGGCGTCTGTCACCTTCCTTAAAAGATTTTAGCTGTTGATCTGACGTTTAACCCTATATTCCATCTCTCAGAGTTATCTGCTCTTGTCAGCAGGTATTGCTTTTTACGTCATTTGTTTGTGAGAGTTTTTATTTAGAAAACGACGTAATTTTCTCACACAAACTAATGACGTAACAATCAATACCTGCTCACAAGAACAGATAGCTCTATAATACGAAAAGACGGAATACAACCCACAACTACAGTACATTGACCTTCATATAACTTAAGGAAACTTACCCCATCTGTCTAATACTCCGTTATGGTCGAGATCGTGACGTAATTGTTGCTCTCCGAACATCAACGCTTCGTCCCAAGACGCACCATTCGCTAGATACATGAGTGAGAGTTCTAATTTATCCAAAAATCCATCAAAATTAAAATCGTGTTTGTCAAAAAAGTCTACCCTCGATCTCTTCCTGTGTCCGTACGGATCCCAAACACCAAATCTCGATCGCTATAGAAGATGAAAAAAACAGGAAAATATTATTTCATATGGTAAGTTCCTAAGGATCATAAACATTACATAGTACAGAACCTTGCCTAATTGCAATGCAGCATTTATAAAAAAAAACAAAAAACGATTCGTATTCCTTGACGAACATGTTTTACTAAAAAAATCATATTTAAACTATTTTTGGATAAATTCAATACAAAAAATCTGGTATATCATGTGAGTGAAATCGAGTTTCAAAATATAAATCTCTAACTCTAAATATTTAAAACATCTTGCGAATCTTTAACATTTCTTATATTGGGGATAAATATATCTCAACTGATACCTAATGCCTTAGTCCAACTGTCCTTAATTTCCGAACATAAAGGTGAATCCTTATTTAGATCAGTGAAATGTTCCCATATTAAAAAACTACGGTCTTAACTCATTCACCCCTAAAGACACATTTGAACCCTTCCAATTCAAAGGTTGGAACAGTTCATTATGAAACTACAGGGGTCAATGAGTTAAACAACACGTTTCCATTTGCAAAGGGGAACAACGCGATTTTCAATTGAAAATTAGGTGTCCTAATCACGCTACCGAATGCAGCATTATTTGGATATTTTCTCCACAAATTTGAATAGGCTAATTGTCAAGACAAAAAAACGATACGCGCAAAGGGAGTCTTCTTAACGAACCCCATTCATCCCAAGCGCACTCTAAAAACGCTCGTGCTACAGAGCTTGGTAACGCGCCACAGGGTTGCTCTTTAATTTTTGCCGTAACCGTTAACACGCTGCGATGGGAACTAAACAAGTGTGTGTCTGACTTATTTATAGATTGGAAGTACACCACGCAGTCATTAGCAAGGTCACTGACCACGGGATAGCAACTCTTATTACTACCAGGAGTTCATTTGAATCATGCGGTATGCAAAAAATATGTGAAACCTTTTAACTATAAACTTTGATGCTTTAAACGTTGCTACCTTGTGCAATGTTATTAGAAAAATAAGAAAAACCGTCGGTTACTTCATTCCGGGTTTTCCTCCCCCCACCTACAATCTAGAGGTATTCCGAACGTATCCATAGATCACGAACGATGAAGATGTTTCAGATTTGATTATACGAAAATTACTTACTTATACTCTTATAAATATATATGAGAGATCATGGGGGATATTGACTACGAGATAAATAAGCGTTCAAACAAGAAAAAGACGATCAATAAATATGGACCGGAAACGTCACTCAATAAAAACACATATCAAGGAGAGGTGAAAGAGACAAAAAAAACCGAATAGTATGTTATTTTAATAAAAATAAAGACATTCTATACTACATCGATATTCAATTAGCATTTTACGAACCTTAGATGATACGAGGAATGACATTTAAATGTCCTAAACTTGCTTTTTCCAATTAATGAACGAGAAGATTTATACCACTAAATGAGACCATTTTTAAACAATAAACACGCCTTTCCGACAAGACTGCATGGCAGTATAAAATCAAATCAACATTTTTCTAGTTTGGGATCGGTTCATGAAAACGTAACCATAAACAGAGAAACACTGCTGCTATCTTTCCCAGGCATAATTTTAATTAACAAATTCAAATTATTTACGCCCGTTTCACCCGTCTTGTGTTATAGAGTCGTACAAAGAGACTAACTTGAAACAAGCTACCGATAACAAATTGTCTTTTGGCGATCTAAACCATTTCGGGTTACCTTGCGATATTTCCCCCCACAAATTAAATGTCCACGGTGATATAATGCATCTGTCGGAAATGCAAACCCTGATGAGGAAATTAAAAAAAAGCTAATAGAGGGATTAAATACACAAGGAAGAACCGCGGCTATTTACAGACTGTGTGTCCATATTATGTTGGTGTGGCGTTAAATTAGAATTACGAATCAATCATTTTATCTAAATATAATTTTTGGTCACTTCAAAATCTTAATTTTTCGCGAATAATCGTTTTTTAGATTCTTCATAACACTTATTAACCGCGGAGATGACAATTCAAGAAAGGAAGCATAACCAATGTGAATATGTTGTTAACATATTTGAAAACAAATAACCTTAAAAAGTGATACGAAGTCAATTCTCCGCGAAAATAAATATATCGCAAAAAGAAATATTAAAAGAAATATATTACAAATAAAACAATGCTCACCTTTTGTCGTGATGACGTTAGGTCTTTACTGTCCGTTTTCAATGGCAGCGTGAAGGCAGCAGCTACCAGACAGCAAGTAAGTACTGTGAACGTTCGCAGCATCATCTTTGTATGATAGGTTAGGGCCTGAAAGTACACAATACACACGACTTATAATTCACACGAGTCTTGAACCAACTGTCGCATCCTGGACCATAACGCACACGCTTTATAATCAGCTCTGACATCGACAAGATATGCCACTCCTTCGCTGCTAATGTTAATCTTATCAACAACGCTACCAATCTCAAGTAGAAAACGCATCTGTCTAATGTTATTTGCTTAGTGATACACAAGGTCAAATTATTAAAGTCAATCGTTTCCTAAACATCTGTAAAAAAAAAAACCATATTTAAAATATTGCTCTTTGCATAAACGTGCCATGCATCATGCCAAGGTGTTCGTTCTAAAATTAAATTCTGGATTAAAATAACTATTATCTATTTCTATGGTCGTTGTTTTTACCAAGTTACATCCGAATACGCCTTGGCTTAAAAGCCTTTCCCTTGTCTCGTTCTTGCTCATTGTGACAGAACAGTGATTCGAAATCAGGAGAAAATGGAAAATTCGTGTTTTCAATTCGTCTAGAGAAAGGGATGGTCTGGAATTGAAAAAACAGGAAGAACTGGTGATACACGTTTTACTGGAGAACCAGACGTATTTAGTTGTGAGGGATGGAGCAATATTGATGCATTATCACATAAGTGCAAAACCTGAATTTAAAATTTGATTCGAAAGGGCAAATTCGAGCATCGAATGAAAAAAACGATAAAGGAAAGAGCTTTTACAACAGAATAAAGTATGACTTCGAGTTTTAAATTAGCATGATGGTGTCTGTGTGACTATTTGTCAAACGCGACTGAAATAACTTTGGAATACATCTCCAATGTTGTATGGTCTTTTCTTAACAGGCTCACATTTCCCCAGAACCTTGTCAGTACATTAAAAGTCACCCTTACATAAAGTTTAGCGTTACAAGTTTTTAAATATTTAGAAAGTGTAAGGATTGGCAACGACCTATCTGGGGTAACGTTACTGCTACATGTACGAGCATTCATTGAAGTCGATTCGATGTTATTGCGTAAATAGTTACCCTCTTGTGACCAGCTGGGTAATCCCTTTCGTTATTTATTAATCGCGAATCCGATTTTTTTTATTTTTTTATTTATTTATTTTTTATCCAGGGAACATAGAAATACGTTTGACCTTTGTGTACTTGTTTTCTCGTGTAAAACTGCCCCGATCCTAACTTTCCTTTGTTTACGGTGGTGAGAGAGAACAAAATATTACCGAAATGTTAACCAAAATAATAATTCGAACTCACAGTCGATAAAACTAAAGCGAAATATGAGCAAATGAAAGATTTACACGGAGACAAAAAAAAAAAGTACAAGTAGAATAAAACCAGGTGTTCCTGAAGAGTAAGCGTGTTATTCGTCGACGACACTCGCTTATCAAATTCAGGTCAAATCTAAGTAATGGCACGTTCTCATACCGAGAGGAAGTGAGAACATGATAAATAATACCGACCTTCATGTCATACAAAAGGAAGAGATAAAAGGGTTAAGTAGGCTACCAAATGATGTAGTGTATATTTCTTCAGTTCTTCTTAAAATTGCGTCTGAATCACTATCCACGTTTAAGTTGTTTTGGATTTGTGCGCAAACTTGATTACAAATATTTGACGAAAAGTAACATTTTTATAAGTTTAGGTAGGATAATTTCAACATATGTGCTTAATTTCACAATTATTAAGAAAATAATATAAAATTAATTACATTATGTCACAATAAAATACTTTTAAGGCTAGACTCTTTGTGTTTGTGATTCCCTTACGTGTTATATCATTATATATTTGAGTAGACTATTTGTCGTTTTTCACAGCCTTTCTGTACTGTACGTAAATGAGGGCTTCCATTATCGACAACAAACTATAAATAAATTCAGAGAAACATTATAATCAATCCCAAACTATTTTGTTCGGTTTCAAAATCATACCTATTTGCAAGCCGCGTAATTTATACGGGATTTATCAGTAATTAAAATAAGGACTTTAGTTTTGTAAACCATTAATGTATAGAACAAATATAACCATCATACTTTACGAGGATAGCGCCCTCACCTTCAAATGCACTTTTCATAAGAGTAATTGAGGTGTACTGAGCATTCAAAGAGCTTGTTTGATAGCCGAGAATCACGCTACAGAACAAACGCTGATAACGACCGAATCAGACGGAAGATAACTCGTGGTTACAATTTAGCCAATACCTGCTTCATCTGAGGTTCTAAATATAGTTATACGTTAGTATTAATAACAGGATATATATTTATCATGAACTTATGGCAATACTTTGTGTTTTTTTTTATTGTTATTACTCGAAACACTGAGAGCTATCCGACTATTGCAACAAAATTGTCAGCACGGCAAACCTTCTTTCACGTTTGCTAACAAATTAAATCTTTAATGAAAATATTAATGTGGTCAATTATTTGCCATTGATAATGACCCAAGTTTACTCCATTATTTACATTTATGAGGTTCGGAGGCGATAACGGATACTGTAACAATGGCAAAAGATAAAGCTCTGCGTCCAAGACAGTTAACTGAAATTTATGAAAGTGATGAAAATTTCGACATGTTCGCCAACTTAAACACATTTTCGAGTTAAGTACCTTCAAAAGATCTCCACGAATCCCTACGCAGATGCGTTTTGCTTTCAGTTGTGATAATAAAAACATTGTTTCTTCAGTTTGACCTCAAATTCGGGTTAGTGGTGGCCACGCGTGATAGCAGCATTCAGAATAAGAGTGTAGTAAAGGAATGAACCACAATGCGCAAGTACTGACCATCATTGTTTTGTTAGCTTGTTAAAATACAAAATGTAATAAGATTTTAAAATTTAAAGCAATGTAATACGTTTTGTCATTTTCTAGGGATTGGGATCATTTAAAGTCCAAAAATAAACATGTTTTGATCTAGATTAAAAACAAATACAGCCTTGTTGAGGGAAAACAGTTTTGAAGAAAATCGTTTCATGTTTTCATATCATTTAGGATTTGTGTCAACCTATTTGGGCAGAATCTGCTTTTAAAAGGATAATTTACATATTATAAAATAAACCGGAAATGATGTAACTGGCGACATATAATTGTTGACAGCTCTTGAATAGTAAACAAGAAAAAAATGTATTATGTTAACACCAGATAATACAGAAGAGTATAGAATTTAAACACGATACCATATGTTCTTAGGTTATGATATTGATTAAATACAACCACAGTTAAATCAAAATCTCAGTTATAAATTAAACTTTTAGATCTAAAATTGAAACAGGATAAAGTAAAGAGATTTTGAATAGGACACGGGAATCATGGTGCAAGATCATATTTGTATAAAAGCCTATTAAGATTTTCTGTAAACATTGATGATTACGTATGAACTGAATAGCAAATGGGATTGGCGTTGCAATAATACTACTGTGTATTACATTCCAAAACACAGTTTCCGTACGTACAGGACGATCCTCTTCAGCGTGCTTTATCAGTAACGGCTATCGATTAGGCAAACATATTTATTCATTACACCGCGGATCATCCCGAAATTCATATCTAACCTAGGAAAGAGAAATTGAATGCTTTCTATATAATGGTAAAAAGTGAAGCTTCAAACGATTAATTTTGATAGATTTATTAACAGATACGATTTGATGTTCCTTATCCGCGCTGTTTCGAGTGTAGTTTTTATAGCTACATTAATCCACAGATTGGTTCTGGTTTTCATCTGAATGCCACGAAAATATTTGAATAATATGAAAATAATTCTTCCTGACAGACATGAAAATTTGTGCTGTCATTTTGAAATTCTGTATAGACTTCAGTTCCGATAAATAAGGGAGACTCCTGTTATGAAAGATTGGTCGTTACTTAATAGAATTGACGGAAATTAACTTGTTTTGCTTTATATGTAAGTGAGGCTCGGGGGATTCACGAACAAGTTTTATTGATCAGACGGCGGAGTGATACGTAAAAGGTCGATACCCGGCGATTTACGACGTTACTGGATATTCTTACGACGTTTGTGCCTGTCTGATTAATCGGTAAATAAATGCAAACATTTTTTTTGTGGTTGATAGATTAAAAGTGTTTTGTGACATTATTGAACTAAAGAGAACGATTCACGACGTTTATGGTGATTGGTAGTATTTCTAAGGATGTTGACGTAATTGATAATGTGATTGCATTGACAAATAATCTTCCAGCCGCCTGCGTTTCTTGAATTATTGCATAGCATAACAAATGAAATAATATTCCACAAAAAAAAAATCACAGATGATGCTGCTAGAACATAACCAGTTTGAAAGGCGTTATATGAATCATATGTAAACGCGATATTGAAACTTCTAATTATAAGAGGAAATTAATGAAACAGATCATGACGCTCTTAATAAAATGTTTATTTTTTTAATTTTGTTTCGCAACTTTCAAGTTAATTGATTCGGCGCAAAAATAAGTTCTCGTGAATGTATTGAATGACAATGAAATACACATGTACTGCAAGATAAGCTTACAAAATGCGAGAATTAACCGACAACATTTTGAAGTGTCATACCGTGATTTTTTAGCTCGCAAATATTTCCTTTCTTACAGTAATATGCCAGCTTAGATGGCATTCATAAATGCATGAACCTCATGTTCCTTGGTTTCTGTTAACGTTACTTTTTTGTGAGGGTTCATATTGTGGTTCCAAACACTGGCATTCTTAACTTAATTGTATGATCAACGGGTACTTAAAATTTATGTTGTTCTCAAAATGTTATTCAAAAGATATATTCCCAGTTGATAAAAGGAAAATAAATGATATAATGTTTTTCAACGAACAAAACGACAAGAAGACCAGACAATTACATCAAGCATGCTGTGTCTTGTCAATAATGTACATGGTTGTTGACAAATGTCAACTTTCCTATGCGTAGGCTGAAGCATCTCCGGTTGGAAACATGACTACTTTATTTATTGGAACATTGCTCTAAATAGTTACATAAATCAGTTTTTGATTTTACTTTTAGCCTAGTGACATGATACCGCAG